TTGCACTGTGCAACATCAGGGTTTCACTGGGTCATGCTTCACTGGGATACTCCAGGAAGTACTGCCATTGTCATGGTCCAAGATCTTCACTGGACTACTCCAGGAAGTACTACCATTGTCATGGTCCAAGACCTTCACTGGACTACTCCAGGAAGTACTACCATTGTCATGGTCCAAGACCTTCACTGGACTACTCCAGGAAGTGCTACCATTGTCATGGTCCAAGATCTTCACTGGACTAATCTACTCCAGGAAGTACTACCATTGTCATGGTCCAAGATCTTCACTGGACTACTCCAGGAAGTACTACCATTGTCATGGTCCAAGACCTTCACTGGACTACTCCAGGAAGTACTACCATTGTCATGGTCCATGACCTTCACTGGACTACTCCAGGAAGTGCTACCATTGTCATGGTCCAAGATCTTCACTGGACTACTCTACTCCAGGAAGTACTACCATTGTCATGGTCCAAGATCTTCACTGGACTACTCCAGGAAGTACTACCATTGTCATGGTCCAAGACCTTCACTGGACTACTCCAGGAAGTACTACCATTGTCATGGTCCAAGACCTTCACTGGACTACTCCAGGAAGTACTACCATTGTCATGGTCCAAGATCTTCACTGGACTACTCTAGGAAGTACTACCATTGTCATGGTCCAAGACCTTCACTGGACTACTCCAGGAAGTGCTACCATTGTCATGGTCCAAGATCTTCACTGGACTACTCTACTCCAGGAAGTACTACCATTGTCATGGTCCAAGATCTTCACTGGACTACTCCAGGAAGTACTACCATTGTCATGGTCCAAGACCTTCAATGGACTACTCCAGGAAGTACTACCATTGTCATGGTCCAAGATCTTCACTGGACTACTCCAGGAAGTACTACCATTGTCATGGTCCAAGACCTTCACTGGACTAATCCAGGAAGTACTACCATTGTCATGGTCCAAGATCTTCACTGGACTACTCTAGGAAGTACTACCATTGTCATGGTCCAAGACCTTCACTGGACTACTCCAGGAAGTACTACCATTGTCATGGTCTAAGACCTTCACTGGACTACTCCAGGAAGTACTGCCATTGTAATGGTCCAAGATCTTCACTGGACTACTCTAGGAAGTACTACCATTGTCATGGTCCAAGATCTTCACTGGACTACTCCAGGAAGTGCTACCATTGTCATGGTCCAAGATCTTCACTGGACTACTCCAGGAAGCACTACCATTGTCATGGTCCAAGACCTTCACTGGACTACTCCAGGAAGTGCTACCATTGTCATGGTCCAAGATCTTCACTGGACTACTCCAGGAAGTGCTACCATTGTAATGGTCTAAGATCTTCACTGGACTACTCCAGGAAGCACTACCATTGTCATGGTCCAAGATCTTCACTGGACTACTCCAGGAAGTGCTACCATTGTCATGGTCCAAGATCTTCACTGGACTACTCCAGGAAGCACTACCATTGTCATGGTCCAAGATCTTCACTGGACTACTCCAGGAAGTACTACCATTGTCATGGTCCAAGACCTTCACTGGACTACTCCAGGAAGTACTACCATTGTCATGGTCCAAGACCCTCACTAGACTACTCTAGGAAGTACTACCATTGTCATGGTCCAAGACCTTCAATGGACTACACGAGGAAGTACTACCATTGTCATGGTCCAAGACCTTAACTGGACTACTCCAGGAAGCACTACCATTGTCATGGTCCAAGACCTTCACTGGACTACTCCAGGAAGTACTACCATTGTCATGGTCCAAGATCTTCACTGGACTACTCCAGGAAGTACTACCATTGTCATGGTCAAAGACCTTCAATGGACTACACGAGGAAGTACTACCATTGTCATGGTCCAAGACCTTCACTGGACTACTCCAGGAAGTGCTACCATTGTCATGGTCCAAGATCTTCACTGGACTACTCCAGGAAGTACTACCATTGTCATGGTCCAAGACCTTCACTGGACTACTCCAGGAAGTACTACCATTGTCATGGTCCAAGATCTTCACTGGACTACTCCAGGAAGTGCTACCATTGTAATGGTCTAAGAAAGTCACTGGACTACTCCAGGAAGTACTACCATTGTCATGGTCCAAGATCTTCACTGGGCTACTCTAGGAGGTACTGCCTATTGTGTATTGGTTAGTACTGTTTATTTGTGACCTAACTGTACCAAAAGTACACTCCTGGAAAACTACACATGTGGGTCTTGTTGATGGTCTCAGGTCCTTTGTGTTGTCTGTCTTGGTTTTTGTGGTGGTGTTAGAACATGGTTATCTAGCTATCTGGTTGGTAAACACCTCTTCTGGTGTTAGTTGACATGTGTAGTGTTGTTACCCCGTGACTCTAGTATAGTGCAGCAAGGTAACAAGTGACTGTTGGTGCATTCTTCTTCACATATCCAGAACACATGCTCGTATGAGTTGATGTGTGTTTAGGCATGGAAGAAGTGTAATTATTGCATTACAGAAATACATTGCATGTTCGGGTGCCAAACTGTGGCATACGTATTTGTCAGACAGGCTTTAAAGCCTCAATGATCGGCTGTCGGCTGAGTGAAAAACTTTATATTTCAACTTTTGTTTTGAAAATATACACTTTGTACAACAGGAACCCTCGTCACAGCTTCCTGGTCAACTATTGATGTTGTCATCTGCATGTCCCCATGGGGTGTTATTTTTGCAAAGATGATAATACGTATTTATGGGCATCTCTTTTAATTAGGTGACATTCATGTTCTTGACAATTGCGAGGCTGGAACGTGGTCTGAAACAGCACTGTAGCCTCCTGTAACATGATTCATCATTATGCATCACCTGATGGAGTTAATCTGGGGATTGCATTGGGATGAATGATGCATCTCTAATTAGTCATTTAAATTAAACCTTCTGCTGTGTAATCACAAAAACTGTGTCTTGTGGAAAACAATGTGAAAATGTTGCTGCACAGAACTCGTTCTTTTCAAACTTGACAGTAATTGACCAAGTCTCAGGTGCAGTACTTGAAAATAACTTTTCTCTTCCTCTTCAAGGTATTGCCCTCAGCCAAGTTTCCTGCTTGTTTGAATCATGATGCCACTGAAGAGCTGACATAACGGTATTTGTGATGTCAGGATGAAACAGTAAAAAGTTGTTAATGTCCGACCCAAATCACCATGGATATATGCCGTCATCTATAAATAGTTCCTACATTTAGTTTATTGTGTTAATCATGTGCTATATTTGCCAACAAAGTCTCCTCCTCCTTGGGGGCAATGTTTGTTTATTTAGCTGAGGTATGGTAGGCAACATTCGGCCATGGGTCTCGCTGGCTGTGTTGTGCTGATAATGGAACCTCATGCCAGTTAGGCATGTACTCTTGTCAGGCTGAAGGTGGTTTTTCACTTTTATTGAGGGTATTCTGTTGTTCCTGATTCTTTTGTCAACCCCTTCACAACTTTTGATGCAGTTGAGCTGAGATGTTGAACAGGTGCTATTTCCTGTGGTCTTGTCCAACGGCAGTGAGTTGTACCCCCCCCCCAATCTCCAGTGGAATGTTATGTATCCTTACCTTAATCCAATCAAACAGCAAATAGCACCGCTTACAAGTGCTGAGTAGAACACTTCTGTAATAACAATGAACAGTGTTTTCCTAAAAACAACTCACAGTTTATATGTTTACTTCCTTGACTGGCATTAAGGACGTTCAAAGGAAATAAAATAATTGAACCAACAACAGTTCACTGATTGGTATGTCAACGAGCTTGACATGAGTGGGGGTAGAACTCTAATTGGCCCCAGCAGTGATAATTAACTCACCAGATGCCCATTGTGTAATTCCTATTCTTTGAATGACATTGTTACATACTTGTTACAATTGCTGCTCAATAAACGGTGTTTGTGTTTATATTCAAGTTGGTATTTCCACTATCCAAAGTGTGCAGTGAAAGTCATTCGTAAACATAAATGTGAAGTTAAATAATGCGAGCAAAGACCACTCGCATGTTTCACATTTAATTCTCGTTAATTTCAAGATTTACAGAATTTTGGTTTTCTTTTCAATGAATATCAAGATGTAAATCAAACACACTTAGAAGGATCAAATATTTTCCTTGGCCCTACTCTGTTGCAAGCCATTTTGTCCAATCAAATATAGATTTGAATAGTTTTGAATGCTAAAAAATCATGAAACTATTATTGTCATAGAAACCAGAACAGTTTCAGAGATGCTCGTGTGTCCGCATGCGAGGAGGTCATTAATTTGTACCTGATATAAACATATTTATTTCCATGAAGTGGAGGGATTGGCAAACAAGCAAATTTTGCTTATCTGAATGCCTCTCCCAAACATTATACATATACAAATAGCAATGTATGGAAAGTGACATGAGAAATAGCATACATTATATAATTGGCATTAAAGATAAGTATTGTTCTGTAAGTGTTTAATTACTGGATTATCTTCCATAACTACAGTTACATTATTATTTACATTCAGCACAACAACATCGCAGTATCATATAGCAAAGCCAACATCTCAGACAAAATCTCTAAATCCACAAGGAGATAGAACAAAACTGATTAATTTGTACCTGATATGGAATAGCTCTCCGGTTGAATCTCACTTCAGTGCATCCCCTCACTGCATCACAGCACAACAGTGGAACCACTTTTCATGGCAAAAATTACTTCATATGTATATGTATTTGAATTCCCCTTCTTTGAACCTTGCGTTTTTTAACTATATTATCAGTAACAGATGTAACGATGAGATCATCACTACCATCTGTGCAGTGTATATATTCATGACACAACACGGACATTAACATGTATTAACACTTGATACCCTCCCAACGGAAGACCAGATACCAACTCATGGCATTTTATCAGATCTATGGGCATGGAAAGGCCAAATCTGTCTTAATGTCATCCATATAGATTGTATCATTGTGGCTACAAATAATAGGAAAGACCTGAAGCTTTAATCTGAACTATTTCTGTTGCAGAAATTTGGTTAGCGCCATTGGACTGTGAGGTGCCGGTAAGCTGCTCTGCAGGGTGGAGAGAAGATTATCTGGCTGTTTACCGTTTGAATTGGTAAAACTTCAGAAATATGGTCAACTTTTGCCAACTGAAGAAAGAGAAGGGAACAGAATCTTGGGAGCCACTCTGACAGACATTCCTCCATCCTTCTTCATCTATCTTTCCATCTTGGCAGCAATAATTACAAGTGGAGGGTTTGTAAATGTGAGGTTAGCATAATTTGGAGGCAGTCACTTCAAGTGCATGTAAACCTTAAGTGATTCCTGCTGGCTGCAAGGTACGGACAGTACAGGCACAGAGTTGAATACCAACTGTAAATCGCTGCAACTGCAGCCGTACCTGACTTCAAGCTTTGTTGTGTTGATTCCTGTTCTCAGGGGATAAATTAGCGTTCTGTGATCCTGGTATTGATGGCGGACAGTTGAAGATATGTCATAGTTGGACACCTTGCCAGGGGAATACTAAACTGTTCAGTGATCAGTCATCGAGAGGATTGTATTGCACCGCGATTACTTGCCTCAGAGGCTTCACAAGTTGGAGGAGTCATTTTGTCAGCTGCATCTCACATGTCTTCATGATAAATCTCCCTTACTGGATACATATGCATTTGAGACCTCCCTGTGATGAGAACCTGGCAGATCAGTTGAACAAAGCAAGACTGGAGACTGGTGTCATTGTTGCTTCAGTTGGACGGTTTTAATCGATTTTGAGAACATTGTCAACTTTGTGTCTTTCATCGGAGTCTGTTTCACAGGATTCACCAGACACTGATTGGAACATTTTCAGAATACAAAAGTTAGCAAACCTGGATTTATCTTACCATTTTGCGGACGTGTTAAGTAGTAGTCTGGAGGATAGAAAGAAAGCAATGGGAGACGTACCCGGATTCCACCGGGTCCTTAGTACCAGCGCTCTCCGCATCCCCAAACAGAGGTACTCGTTCTGGAGGAGGTGAGTTACAGTCGAGGGGGGACAGCATATGTCCTCCACCTAGTTAGTGTACCGGACACTGGTCAGTGCAACCTACAGGTGAGGGGGGACAGCATATGTCCTCCACCTAGTTAGTGTACCGGACACTGGTCAGTGCAGCCTACAGGTGAGGGGGGACAGCATATGTCCTCCACCTAGTTAGTGTACCGGACACTGGTCAGTGCAACCTACAGGTGAGGGGGGACAGCATATGTCCTCCACCTAGTTAGTGTACCGGACACTGGTCAGTGCAGCCTACAGGTGAGGGGGGACAGCATGTGTCCTCCACCTAGTTAGTATACCGGACACTGGTCAGTGCAGCCTACAGGTGAGGGGGGACAGCATATGTCCTCCACCTAGTTAGTATACCGGACACTGGTCAGTGCAGCCTACAGGTGAGGGGGGACAGCATGTGTCCTCCACCTAGTTAGTGTACCGGACACTGGTCAGTGCACCCTACAGGTGAGGGGGGACAGCATATGTCCTCCACCTAGTTAGTGTACCGGACACTGGTCAGTGCAGCCTACAGTTGAGGGGGGACAGCATATGTCCTCCACCTAGTTAGTATACCGGACACTGGTCAGTGCAGCCTACAGTTGAGGGGGGACAGCATATGTCCTCCACCTAGTTAGTATACCGGACACTGGTCAGTGCAGCCTACAGGTGAGGGGGGACAGCATATGTCCTCCACCTAGTTAGTGTACCGGACACTGGTCAGTGCACCCTACAGGTGAGGGGGGACAGCATATGTCCTCCACCTAGTCAGTATACCGGACACTGGTCAGTGCAGCCTACAGGTGAGGGGGGACAGCATATGTCCTCCACCTAGTTAGTATACCGGACACTGGTCAGTGCAGCCTACAGGTGAGGGGGGACAGCATATGTCCTCCACCTAGTTAGTGTACCGGACACTGGTCAGTGCACCCTACAGGTGAGGGGGGACAGCATATGTCCTCCACCTAGTCAGTATACCGGACACTGGTCAGTGCAACCTACAGGTGAGGGGGGACAGCATATGTCCTCCACCTAGTTAGTATACCGGACACTGGTCAGTGCAACCTACAGGTGTGCATGCTGTCACCATCACAGGAGACGAAGTTTCACAAGGCAGCAGTACCAGGATGGAGTTGTAGAGATGTTTGGTGTCATGACGCTGGCACATTGTACCATATGTATCTGATAGCCAATATTACACTTTCTGCAATTCTTTCTGCAAAACCTTCCGATAATTAGCTTATTTTCTACTTTCAAATATTGTGTGCCTTTGAATACTTATGTGGTGATTGAGCTTTCAAATATTTTTTTTTCAATTTCTGTATAATATTATAGATTAATTTCAGTGGTATTGTTTTGGGTAAAACAATAGCAAACATTATCAGTGCATGTAATACAGATGTGAGGAAGTAGGGTAATAATGTCAAACTTCCTTCTTGTTAATGGCCATCATTGATGCATGTTCATGTGGTTGCTAGATGAGCATTCTTCCCATGGGAAGTTTGGAGACAATTGCATTATTTGGTTGCAGTTATATTCACATTGAATTTGAAATTAGAAAGGAATTTTAGTGATAATTTCGAGAACATATTTCACTATTCCTCAGAAATACACTTAGGTTTTTAAAGAGGACATGCAGCATGACAGATGGAACATCATCGGGGCTCTGCCATTGCTCGGTATCAAACTGAATCTACCAATGGGCAGCAGAGTGGACTTGATTGTACCACTCAGGAACGAGCCACCATTAGAAGCAAAGGAGCTCCAGTTTGCTCTCCAGGTGTTTTCAGATGTTCCGAGGCCGTTCTCAAGATGATGTTCTTCAGAGGAGAGGGAGAACTAGGTCAGGGTTGTTGCTATTAGAACAGACAGTAAATAAGTAGGTTGCAGGCTTAGCCTGGCTACACTGGCATGAGTCTCCAAGAAATGGTTGGTTAATAAAAAATGACATAAGATGAAGTAATGTACAGGTAGATTGTTGTTGCTACCAGAACAGTCAGTAAAGTCGATATAACGGATATACAGGTAGATTGTTGTTGCTACTAGAACAGTCAGTAAAGTCAATATAACCGATATACAGGTAGATTGTTGTGGCTACTAGAACAGTCAGTAAAGTCAATATAACCGATATACAGGTAGATTGTTGTTGCTACTAGAACAGTCAGTAAAGTCGATTTAATCGATGTAGGGACTCTGGTAAAGTAAACTGGTTGTGGCTTATCACTAGACTTGCACAAGTCTCTAAGGCAATAATTATTAGTTTAAATCATGTGTTCTAGATTATGTAAACAATAAGAACAAGTCTAAGAGACTGGAGTCCGGTCAACATATATAGACTTACCTCTTAGGAGGGTAGAATTACTACACATCCATTGACATTTCATTCAGTACAGCCTTGGAGCAAGGCTAACTAATCACCAGCTACACTGACATAAGTCATAGAGAAAGTATTTTATCAATAAGGTAAATTAGAAAAGTAATTCACTATGAAATTCTTAAAAAAATCATCAACATATTTTGTTTCAATAGATCTACTGTCAGCCGATCTAATTGCTAATTGTGACCCTGAATAAATGCTCTCCTTTAGGACAGCCCTGGTTCAAGTCTTTAGTCACTCGCCTTCCTACAACTAGACTTGCTTGGAGGTGTGATCCAAATGTACTTGACTATGCTGTCAGACAATATGTGAAATGTTGAAAGGAATTTTATATAATTGAACACCGTCGTTATAAGAGCTAACCAATATTTCATGTCAGGATATTAAAAAACAAAAATTAATCTACAGTATACTAAGTTTATAATGAATACTCTTATAAAAAACTGACAGATATAGCGAACTGTTTTTTTGTCTTGGCCATTTGCTGTATATATGCTTATAATGAACTCCGGTTATAACAAACTAAAATTAGTGGTCCCTTTGAGTTTGTTATAATCGCAGTTCATTGTAATAATTTACAATGTCAAGTTTGCAATAGTGACGATGTTGTATTAATAGAAATTATATTTGTGATTTTCTTTTTCAACTTGTCTTGTTTTAGGTATTATCAGTTTCAAAATTAATATGGAATAAACTCGATTTAGTGATTATCGTTCTCAACATTTTAAAATCTTCTGTATAGTGATCAAAGTCCCAAAAGTTGCATAACCCCCAACATATTGATGTAATAATGCCCAATCTCATTGATCAGACCTTACTTCTCACTACTGCTAAACAAAGATCTGAGGACATCCCATTACAGGTCATGTCGAACGATTTTAATGTAGTTGTGTAATGCCTGACCCAGTCTTGTTTTTTCGTTTCCGAATTAAAAACTGCCCTGAATGTAAAAAGAATATTTTTCAAAATTTAATTATAGCATTTTTTCTTTTAAATGTACTTATTTAATTTGTATTTTTGACATAACTGTCGTGTTAAGCATTTGCTTTAAAGGAAATTAACCTTTTCTTCATTTTAATGCTAGTACCTCCTGACTGCATAAAAACTCACTCACTCACTCACTCACCCACCCTAACACTCACTCACTCACTCACTCACCCACCCACTCACTCACTCACTCACTCACTCACTCACTCACTCACCCACCCACCCACCCACCCACCCACCCACTCACTCACTCACTCACCCACCCACCCACCTTATTGACAGAGAATCCCTGCAACAAACCATTATACAGTGATCGCTCGCTATTGCGCTACCAATGGGGTCCAAATAATTGGTGGGCGTTATAGACGATGAGCCGTTTAACCGAAGCCGAGGCGGGGGAGCGCGCTCGGCAAATCTCAAATCATCAATAGGCCTATGTGTTTATCTCACGTCACGTCAAAATAGTATATATTTTTATGGACCTAGATCTACCTGTAATATCATTCATTTATTAAATCTGTCATATTTCACAATGTCTGAAATACGTATTCCATTCTAATTTATCATTTTTTATCAATAAATTAAAAAATTATTCACTATTTCCCGCGATGTTATTGAAAATAAAATTCTCGGACACACATTTCGACAACGGGTCCGCATCGAACATGTCAAAGAGCAAAATATAGACTATTTTAAGCAAATCTTTAAATATATTATACAAAGTGATAAATAAAATCAACAAAAATATATCTAAAAGTAATCAAACTTACATCTAAGTTATTATTTCCATCGTTTTGTGCGATCGCGTGTAATGTAAGTCAAATGACATCTCGGCTTTCGTCGCCTTGAATTCTCGGCTCGGACACAACGTTTAATGCAAAAATATATGCATGAAAAATCTTTGTCACAGCTCGTAACCTAGCACGATACATTCGCGAAGTTCCATATTTTTAATATATATCGTGATTTCCTGCTTAAAACGTTCAGAATAACACGATTTAACAAAAAATCTTTCGCTAACTTCTGAAATTTATCAAACACGAGCTTTGTATCAAAGCTTGATTGGCTGCCTGAGGTCACGTGCTCAAAATTGACCAATCACGAAACTTGTAGCAGATTTCGGCAAGAAAGCGTCATTAGAAACAAATTTTAATCCAATGAAATCGCTTGTTATAACTACGGGGAAAAAACAGGCGATGTTACGAAAGCGCGATTACGAAATGAATGACCGCCGTGTTGTGACAGCAACTACATTTGTGTGACAGTTTAGCCTTAAATTGGATTGCCCACTAATTAAGAATATAAACTTCACTTGTGGTTCTCTTTTATTGCATGCATGCGCTTCTAAGATCAAAGGATGTATAGTGTGAAAAGTTAACTAGTTGAACAATCGTATTTCCGGGACTTGCCGCGGATATTTTCAAACAGATTATTAGAACTCCATTCAGCGATAAACCGTTGATTATGCAATGAGAAGCGTTATGTGCAAATAAACAACGAACAACAATACAATCATGTCTGTGTAAAACTCTCAGTATTAAAAGTGTACATAAATTTTGGGAGCCATGCGTTACCGCGCGTAATAACCGAAGTAGCGCTTTATCGAAGAGCGCAATAGCGAGCG